GAAGAAGAAGAAGAAGAAGAAGAAGAAGAAGAAGAAGAAGAAGAAGAAGAAGAAGAAGAAGAAGAAGAAGAAGAAGAAGAAGAAGAAGAAAGTGACGACGACCAGCAAATTCTAGCTCGAACGCGACGAAGTGCAAGTCCGGAGCCATCAAGTCGTGAAGGCTCGCAGAACGGTCAACAAGGAGACGACGAAGAGCCTCAGGGCGGTGATCAAGATACTGCAGGAGGTTCGCATGGCGGCAGTCGTGTGGGCACCAATTCAGAGCGAAGCGAGTCGCCATCTGTTGGACAAGGACCACATGACCAGGGAGCAACAGGCACTGGAGATGGTGGGCCTAGTGATAGCGGAGACAGTGACTCTGAAGATAGTGACTCTGAAGACAGCCGAGGCAGTGGACCTAGAGGCAGCGGAGGTGGTGGGTCTGGAGATGGCGGAGGTGGTGGATCTGGAGACGGCGGAGGTGGTGGGTCTGGAGACGGCGGAGGTGGTGGGTCTGGAAACGGCGGAGACAGCGATTCTGAAGACAGCAATTCCGAGGATGGTACTTCTTCTGCCCCCTCTTCTCATGCTTCTTCCGACGACAGTCAAGGACTGGTGGACAGAAATGGAGACTTGACACACAAAGGCAGAATCGAACAAGAGATGGACCATCATCGTCGACGCATGGAATATGAGGCAGCTGCCAGACCCGTACTCGACGAGATGGAAGCGCTCTATCAACTCGCCCTCACACTTGCCGACGGAGATTACTTCGTGCCAATTCCCATCATAATCGCACCCAACACGGATCATGACATATTCATAATAAAAATCAAAGAAGTCGTCTGGAACACGCACCTAAACGCCCTGAGTGCCATGTGGGAAGCAGCATATGCTTTAATCGCGGAACACTTTTCTGTTCAAGCTGCCGCACTTTTGCAGGATGCATGGGAGCTCGTAGTTTTCGAATTCGACGTCATGGTATTAGAACCTCGAGGTCCGGAGCGAGACGTGTTTCGCATCTCCTGGCAATTCGCCGTAGACGCTTTCCATCGTCGGAATCCTGAACCCAACACCGCAGCTCGCTTTAATGATCTTCGTCAGTGGGCCATGGACGACGCCGCGCTGCGAACCGTCTATACGTATCCGCCACGGCTGGCAGATCTCGATGCCGGATGTGAATCGTACTGTCAGAGTATTCTGGAATTGATCCGGATTTCACGTCAAAAGAACTATGAAGACATCTGTAACATATGGGAAACCTATATTCAAGCGGCAGAGGATCCCGATATCTGGGACGACGACAATCTTGAAATGGCTGAACGGTACGAAGATTACAATACCATGAAAGCTGCAGTTCGAGCAGGAGGATGGCCCTATCCACCCGACAACATCGCAATCGAAGCACCACTCTGGACGGCGTGGGAAAACTGGGCTGAACTCACTCGAACTCTCGGATTCGGCGGAGACCGCAGTCAAATTGATGGCACATGGCAGTGGCACAAGCAGCTAGGAAATGGGAGTTATGGAAGTGCGAGTTTATGGGTGAAGTATTCGCACAATTTACGTGTGATTGATCGCAAAGTGCTCAAGGACGTGTACACGCTATTTCACGATTACGAATGGGATGATCCGATGTGGTGGAGTGGACCTGTCGCGGATCGTCTTCCATTGGAGTATGATTTGGCTAGAAAGGCTTGTCAATGTGTTGGTGGCGATACCATTGTACGCGTGGATGGGTATGCGACGTATGAGAGGTGTGCCATGTATCGGCTATATTCTGGTGAGTTTGAACTTTTCTTTCCGTATCTCTCTCTGGGGCTCAACAGAGATCTGACAGCTGATGATTGTGCCATCATCTCACAGAGTACTGTCCTCATGGCGATCTCGAAGACGTGATTAAACTATACAAAGATCTCGGACTTGCCATGAACGCTCTCGGCCCAGGAATCCACTTTAACAAGTAAGTCCCTCCCATCCCTTCTCATCCTCCTCCTCCTCCTCCTCCTCCTCTTTCTCCTCCTCCTCAGATAACAAAAGAAAACCCACTAATAAAAAATTCCTCCTCCCAGAGGAATCCCCAACCGAATGCTCTGGGCAATTTTCGAAGCCCTCTCCTCCGCCCTCTGCATCCTCCAAAACGGCCGCCTCCCCACCTCCCCTCCACCCCCACCCAACACTCCCCCATACCAACCCATAATCCACCACGACCTCAAACCCGCCAACATCTTCCTCTCCAAACCACACGCAACCTTCTGGCCAGGAATCCCCATCCCCAAACTCGGCGACTTCGGCCTCTCCGCCCCTCTAACCTCCCCAGAAGCTCAAGTCCCCGGAATCGGAACCCGCGGCTACCAAGCCCCCGAACAACACCGCTACCCCCCCGAAAGTCCCTTCCGATATACGACTCTTCAAGATTCCAAAACTGACATTTGGGTCGTGGGTCGTATCATGTTGAGTCTGATGCGACTGGAAGATGAACGCAATGTACATCCCGCACCGCTCACAGGAGGCGCGATTATGCCTCGATTGACGGCTTTGGATCGGCCGAAATTTCCTTCGAAGATGGTGGAGTTGGTGCATGATTGTTTGGAGGCTGAGAAGGGAAATCGTCCATGTGCGGAGGTGTTGTGGAGGAGAATTCGAGAGGAGGTGGGGAGTTTTCCGGATCAGGGGGGTTTGTATTCTGATTTGATGCCGATGAGGATGCAGAAGGGGGATGTGGAGAGGGAGAGGATTATGTGTTCTAATCCGGGGGATATTTATGCTTCGTTTGGGTTAGAGTGAGAGGGGGTGGTTAAGGGGTTTGGGCAATCTTTTTTCTTTTGTGTATCAGTAGGTATGATGAATGTGTTAAAATAATGTATTGTTTGTATTACTGTTCGTGGAAGTAGATTCTACAAGAAGAACTGAGTGGTTCACGTCCACATGTACACACATGTACCTTACATCTGGCTTCTTTGTGAACAGAGGACTTACATGTACTCAAGTCATTCAAACTTACAGGTGTTACTTTTGTTCGTCACAAGTATTTACTCTCGTTGACTACTGCAGTACACGACCATATGTAGAGACGTGCCGATTGAGCAAAAGCCTTCTCTCTATGCCGACATCTCATATGTTTACTCGTCATGCTGGAACGCGCTGATCACATTTCAGCTTCTCCGCCGCATCTTACGAGCAAAAAAAGCTCTCCCGTACAGTAATGTATGCTTGTGTGTGTTCCATCCACATCTTCTAGTCATGACGGCGCATACCTACCACATTGGGACTGGTGCATACCTGTTTGCGTCCCAGTGCGTGCCCGTGAATAACGTCGCCTCCATGTTACGTTGGGCAGCTTCACGCCAAGAAACCGGGCGAGGCTGCTAGTCGTATTGGAACAGCGTGCTGATACTCTCCCCGTGGTGAACTCGGCGGATGGCCTGCAGCGTGTCAGGCTGCCGTACACAAGCAGAAAGGGAGGCAGACAACAAGAGAAGGAGGATGGAAGGGGGAAAGGGGGAGGAAAGGGGGAAAATGAAAAAGAAAGACCCACCTCAGCAAAGACACCACCCACCTCGAGTACCTCGAGCTTGTTCTCATCCTCTGGGCGTCCCCACTTCTCGGCCAGCTCCTTCATCTGCCGCACGTGCTCATCCTGCGGCACGGTGTTGGTGACGACGACCTTGTCCAGACCGGAGTGGAAGATGCGTTCCACACCATCTCCGCTCAACACGCCATGGGTGACAAGAGCAAAGACTTTACTTGCACCCGTTCGCTTGAGCAGCTTTGCAGCGCGGGTAATGGTGTTTGAGGTGTCGGCGAGATCATCAACCATAATGCAGACTTTACCCTTGACATTACCCACGAGCAAAAGTGCAGAATTGCCGCTCTCGGGAGCAGCAGAGCTGGGCACATCTTTCTTACGTCGCTCCTTGTGGATCAAGGCGAATTCCATGCCGAGACTGTCGGCGATGGAGGTGGCTCGTTTGGCGCCGCCGGCGTCTGGAGAGACTATCACGCAGTCGTCAACACCGCCGTGCTGAGGCAGGATTTGGTGGGTGATGTAGCGACGGAGCAGATGACGACCGTAGAGGTTATCCACGGGAATGTCGAAGAAGCCCTGGTATTGGGCATCGTGCAAGTCCATGGTGATGACGTGATCTGTTCCGGCGCAAGTGAGGAGATCTGCCACCAGCGTACCCGCTTGGGCGACCCATTGTTTGTAGCCTCGCTGTGGCTTGAAGTCGGGTGGGTGAGCGGTGCTGCTCTCTCTGCCGGTATTGCTGTGATTGGCAACGGGCGAGGGGGAGGAGGTTGGGGCGCCATTGGCGACGGGCGGTGAAGTATCACTCGTGTTGCTCTCCAGTGTGTTCTTCCTGCTCGGGAGGTGCAAGTCGCCATTCAGCTTCAGACCATTCAGCTGCTTCTCCAACTTCTCGTCCCGATAGCGCGAGCCTCCACCAGGAGTTGGAGGCCTGCTCTCAAATGTGTATTTTCCGCTGCCCTTCTCATCCGTCTTTGCGGGCATCCTCGCGAGCGGAGCGCCGACCTTGTTGTACGGCAAATCGCTCTGTCTGCTGTAGGGGAACAGAGGAAGCACAGCGGTGACTCGCTTGGCCGAAGCAGTCTTGCACGCCGAAATGGTGATGAGAAGCTCCATGAGGCCGTCATTGAGCGTGGTGGCTCCCTTGTAGTTCGCACTGGGCGGTCGCGAGCACGCCGTCTGGACAATGTACACATCTTTACCGCGCACGCTCTCGCCGATCTCCACACGAGTCTCGCCGACGCTGAACTTGCTGAGCTCGACGTTGGCGGGCGGAATGCCGAGATGGTTGCAGATGGCCTCGACGAGCTGTGGGTGCGAGGAGCCCGCGAAGAGCAGCATATTGCGCACCATGACGGCGGTGGTGCGGGAGGGTTAAGTGTCGAGGTTCGAGGTTCGAGGGAGGAAGAGGTGGTAGTGGTGGTTGAAGAATTGATGTCGACAATGGAGTGGAGGTGATGCTACCGGCGGAAGCTCGAAGGCGAGCCTGGCCGTCTGGCTGGCTCAGTGGTTGATGTCGCGAGGTATAGGTAGGTGGTAAGGTAAGGTAGAAGAAGAAGAAGAATGGTTGACAAACTTTGCGCGGTGGTGGTGGTGGGCAGCTTTTGCTCGAGCTGTCAATCAATCGATCGTTCTACCACCTAACAAGGCCTCATTGCCTTCGTCTTCGACTTCCTCTCCTTTGATGGCTAGTCAGGTTCAGCTTCTACGCGGGTGCGTCTCGGCTGAGCTACCGATGATGGTCTTCCTGTTATTATTTCATCTACACATATGGACATGTTGGGTGGATAGTGCCCAGGGACAGATGCGGGAGGAGGATGCGTGACGACGAAGTTTTTACACTAGTTCTCTTGCTAACTTAGTACTACTGTACCTCACTTTGCCGATCCCCCATGGACCTCGAAATAGAACGATGTACCTATTACCTACTCCTTACTCCTTCACTTCACTTGGACACGTGCCTGTCATGCGGTATTGATGCAGAGAGAGCGTCTGCAGGTACCCGTCTGCTCCGACCAGCGCATCCCGCACTCATCGCCCTACCTCCTATGTACAGAGTGACGACAACATAGTCTCCCTCTATTCCTCTCTACCTACTACCTACATGTACCTGAGAACTACCAGGTACCACTACTGGGCATAGACAGATCAAGCACCGTACCATGGCCGCCATCGCTGCCGCCACCGCGACCGCCGCCCCCAGCAGAGCAGAAGGGACTCGAGCGCCCACCGCGAGCACACTCCGCGATGCCATGACGCCTATGAGCGACGCCCCCGTCGTGCCCATCCTGCTGCTGGGCGACTCGGGCGTGGGCAAGTCCACATTCATGTCGTAGGTACATGTCTACCTCCTCTCTCGCATCCTCCTACCTGAATACCTCCCAAAGCGTGCTCATCCACGCCCCCTCACCACCCACTAACCACACACCCACAAACCAAACCAAACAGCCGACTCACCAAAGGCCACGCCCATCGAGGCCCTCTCCCCCAACTCCGCGACATGGACCAACCCTTCACCTTTGACATCCGCATGTACAACCGACCCTACCGCTTCGAATTCTACGACACCGCCTCACCCGAACATTACACGCTTTTAAAACCCGCCATGATCATCTTATGCTACTCCATTGCCGATCCTCGCACGTTGAAATCCTTGCATACGACCTGGAAAGTCGTGGTAGAAACACATTTCAACTCGGATGAATCATTGCCTGTTGCGATCTTGGGTTTGCAGCGCGATGTGCGAGGGAGAGAGGATTATGGGGGTACAGTGAGGAAAGCTGCTGCATTGAAGGAGGATGATGGGGATGATGGGGAAGAAGGAAGGTCTGAAAATGATAATGATGATGATGATGATGACAAAACTCTTCTAAACGGTCGCACGTTTGTATATCCTCAAGAAGCCCTACGCATCGCACAGGAGATGCGCTGCGACATGTACGCAGAATGTTCGGCGCTCACGGGCGAGTTGTGTGAGGCGGTAATGGAAGATATTAGTCGCCGAGCGGGCAAGACGACGACAGCGAAAGGGGGCCGCACGGAGGGGACTGCTTGTGTGATTCTTTGAGATCAACATGTGCTGCTTCTGCTATGTCCCTAAGGATCTATAATTGATGAACGCGATGTGGATGTTTGTGAAGTGAAAACGACAGAGCGATATACTAGAGTGTTTCAATTCATCTCATACCTTACCTTATCGAATAGAAGTCCACTAAATGAAGTTGCCTTCCCACTCCTCCTCTGCCACTCTCGCTCCTCCTGTCGACTTCTGTTTGTGCAACTTTATTTTTTTTTGTTGAACAGTACCTAAGTACCTGGTAAGGTATTCACCTAGTTCCGCCGCTGCTTGCCTACATGTACCTACCTACATACCTAGCTACCTCCCTACCTACCTCACCTCCCTCACATACCTGACTTTCCCTTCACCATCCCCCCAAAACCTCCCAAGTCCCCTCAAAACTCAACCTTACCCGGGGTATTTCCTCAAACAAATGGATTCTTGAATTTTCGTCGTCGTCATCGTTGTTACCACCATCACCGTACAAAAATTCGTCGTCGTCGGTGTCATTTTCAGATTCACTTTCAGATTCATCTTCAGATCCATGTTGATAGTGAATTTCGTATTCCTCACTCCCCAGTCCGGAACTACTGTTGACTTCCTCGTCATTATTGGCATCATCATCAACATTCCCATGACCAGATTCCAGATGTTGATCTTGATCATTTTGAACATCATCCTCATCCTCGTCATCATGTTCGTCATGCTCATGCCCATCATCTCGTAAATCAGCGAGCCCAAACCTCGCCTGATTGCCCCTCACAACAGCCCCTCGCGCCGGGACATCCCTCTCACGGCGCGAATGAGAATCATGACCAGGTTCCAGCTGTCGAGGCGGTATCCTCCTTACCCTTCCCCTCACGCTCGCGCCCTCCTCGTGGAAACGTCGTCGCACTTGCACTTCAGCCCCTCCTTCTGCTTCATCTTCTTCTCCTTCCCTGGGAAGGAGATGAGATGGTGGGCCATGCGAGCGGCCGTCGGGGCGATTGAGAGGAGCTGAGAAAAAAGCTGAGAAAAAGGGCGTTCCGCCGATTCGGCCATCAATGGGTTGTGTTGGTCGAGATAGCGGACGAAGAGGCGGTGGTGGCGGTAGTGATGGTCGAGATAGCGGACGAAGAGGCGGTGATGGCGGTAGTGATAGTGATGGTCGAGAGCGAAACAGCGGTGGTAGTTCTATAGGATCGGCTGGATAAAGGTTTGACCGCCGCGATTCGAATGTGCGGTCCGAAGCGAGCAGAATGTATCGTATGAAATTTTCAGAGATCCGGCGGCTCGTTATCAGTGATGATGTCGTGGATCTCGGTACGGATCTGGGTGCCACAAATGTTGACAGCCAACCTGGGTGACCTGGAGGGGGAGGCCGAGGTAGCGCGTCTGGAAACGGCGGTAGAAGATGTGGCAGAGCATTATCACTTGGGAATATACTCGGATTTGCAGTGGATCTGAATGTGTTACCTGTAAGCGGCGAGATAGCTGGGTCGTGAGTAGAATTTAGCTGAGACGTGGCATAATGTGAAAACTCTGGTGATGCTGGATCATCGTGCTGTTCTGCTTCAACCATAGAGAGCATGTTGCCACTACTGTCGTGAGATCCAATCGACCGGCGATTGTCTCCTGCTGTATTTTGTGGGTCTGACATGATGAAGCTGGTAGCGCTGCGGGAAAATTGTTGGAATTATGATCAGCTTCAGAACCTGAAAGTGTTTGTGGTAAGTTATTTGTACGTCGGGAGCACAGTGGCACCTGTGATGATATCAATAGCAGTCAAACAAAAACTGTAGACGTCTCGTGAGATTGTCTTTAGTGACTGTTTGATTGGATCTTATTCCATAAAAAATTCAGTCTATTGATGCCCAATGTATCAGGCAACTGTTGCGTTCGAGTGCTCCCAACTGAGACAAGACAACTCGTTGTAGGAGCTGTCTGCATACCACTGTCTCTGGCCGGTATGAGAGACCAGGCTGTGAAGCATGTTTCGAGGCTGTGAGAAGTCCTATGAAATCTGGCTCCTCGAGAGACAAGACGGCAGTAAAGAGAGTGACTTCATTGCAATCACCATCTTTTTCCACTCTGTCTCATCTCACGTCCCTACTATTCGGTAAGAGGTGCCTGGAGATCATGACGAAAGGCCACCCTTGGTTCGACGCGCACGTGCTGTTTACAGCTATTGCAACATTCGGACACACATATGATCTGTGGGGAACAAGGCTGGATATGGTCAGTACGCGTTTTCCACGGGATACGACAATCTCGCTCACCTTGGCATTGTGAGCCTATCTCAGCCGACATAGTCGGCACGTATCTCATGTTTGCGCTTTGCGCCAGAACTCTGGATACGCGTTCGTCTCGCGTACGCCGCGCGAATATTCAGGCAATCATCGGTCTCGTCCAGTGTCCACAAAACTTGGCGCTCAATCCTCGTCGTCTTCATCCTTCCTACGCCTAGCTCCCGGACTGGCACTTCTCTCCCTGCCACCCTTCCTCTGGCCCTTTGGCGGTGCGCCTTTGCTCGGTGGCGGCCTCACAAAGGCATAGTCCACGCCAATCGTCTGCTCCAGCAATTCTTTCCCATCGGCATCCTGTATCGCGGCCTTGGCCTCATCCAGAGTCGGGTATTCGATCAGCACGTATCCCTACAGGGAATCACCAGATATCAGTACAAAGATCCCTTTGCTTCCTCATTGGCGACATCGAGGACACGTAAGAATCTGGCAAAATACCTGCCACATCCACTTCGTCCTCTTGTTCTTCCTTACCTTGACATAGCCCGTTCTCCGGTCGAGATTCATGTGCAAATTCTTGATGTCTCCATACTCGCCAAACATGTCCTGAATGTCTTCTTCCGAGGCCTCTTCGTGAACGTTGGTCACAATGATGATCCAGCCTTCGATACTCCGGACGGCGGCAGCGTTCTCGGCGGTTCTGGTGTCGGTGGAAGCGGATTTGCTGGCGGGCGGTTTGGCGTCTTCGAGGACTTCTTCGTCGTGATCATCGTGGTGCAGAGAGGACGCTTGGGGAGCGTCGGCCATTTCCGAATCGGCCATTTTTGCGGTCAAGGTGGTGTTGTTGTGGTGGTGTTCTGGGTGCAGAGGGTGAGGTGGTGAGGCCTAGGTAAGGGCAAGCTCGACTGGCGTGCCAAGACACGAGTGGCTCCAACGTTTCTCCAGTTCAAATTCAACTTCAGTCCTTCTTCCCGTCCTCTCCCTCAACTTCCATCACCTCCATCCTCCATCTTCTACCCTCGCTGCCGCCACGCCGCTGATGGTGGACGGTGTATACCGCTCACCTCGACCTGGTGATCATGTGAAGGCGATGGGGATAAAGTCGTCCGACAACAATGGCATGGAGAGAGCATGTCTTTCATCGCCAATATTCCTGGCATAAGAAGGATTTTCTCGGCTCAAGATGTGACAATTGACTCCATTTCCCTCCCGTTCAACTCTCATATTTCTCATATACCTCACATCCCTCAGCTGAGAAAGCACCAGCAATTTCGACGCACCCGACTACTTTCTCCTCACAAGGAAACTCCCACAAGGTCCTCTTCGGAGGAGCGGCTCTCTTGAACGCGTCATGCGGAATGGAATCAGCTGTGGGTTGGCGTGCGTCAAGAACCGCAGACTTGTTCTGCTATTCTTCTCAACAAAATTGCCAGATCAAGCTTTACCACCGGACCTTCATAGTTCATACTAGCTCTCCATTCTCTTCTCTCATCGGCGGCACTGGTCACGGTGGGAGGTGAGGACTCAATGGGAAGTGTGACTCCTTGCGCGCCGACATCTAATAGTGTATCCTGCAGATGGTGCACATATGATGCCCCCAAAATGCACACGAAGCTAAGTACGTACTCTCACATGAAGCATGAAGTACTGACAGAGCAGCCTACACACTTTCCATCCTCTTTGTCATTGGATGCAACTGACGCATTAAACTGGCTTTGATATCGGGAGGCACCGATTTCGAAGGATTCACGTTACCGTACTATCAGCTGCCACCTTGCCACCTTTCTCATTCATGGTTCACGTTGAGACTGAACATTCTAATGGTCGCCGCAGCTGTTCTCTTCCCATCATGTTGTACACACGACTTTCCCAGCACATCGCTGCGCTTCCACCAACATCGTTAGTGCAAAGACACGGGTGCCTCTAATACAACCATACATTATACAGTCATGACATTCCAATTCTGGCCCACCGAACACGCCATACACACCGATCAAGCTGCCACCAGTATCATTCCGTGGGCACTGGTTCCTATGCGAACGCCCAACGTGTACGAATGTGCCTTCTCCGTAGAATTCACCCTTTCATCGTCATATTCCACGAACAGCGGTGACTCTGCCTACGGCAGTAGTTGGGACCACGAAGATGCATCGCTGGCACGTTCTGATTCAATGTTCGTGGATGAAACCTCCAGGGGTTGGGTCAAAAGCTCGATTCATCTGTTCCTTCCACACCTCTCCACTGTTCGCGGCATGCAACAGGCGCTACCGATACCTAGGTCGACCACGGCACGGCTTGCAGCAATTGCTTCCCATGGGTATAGCGGACAACCTATCTCAAGAAAGCACCCCTAAACGCATGGAACTTTTTGCCTGCCTTTAGTGCCTGTCATTTTTTCTTATAAACATCTTATCTGGAAGCATGCATGCTTAAAGGTATGCACCAGTCGATCCTGTGGTTGATTTGTACGGCGTAGCGAATCGGTGGAGCACAGTGTCACGCGCGTCAAGTGCGTGGAGTGTGTCACGACCGATGAACAACAGTGGCAAGTTCTGCGGCTCATCTTGGCCTTCGCACAAGCACTCGCACGCGCAGTCCGGGCAGCAACGTTTCCAGCGGGAAGAGTAGCTTCCAACTACAGGAACCACGCACCGTGTCAGTTGCGAACAAGCACGACTGCGCGATGATACATGCCTGCTTTTCATCTGCAGCTGGCGTTGAACCTCATTCAGTCACACCAGGCATGCATATCCGAGGAGCAGACGGTATAGACGTTCATCATCATATACAAAAAGCCAGGGCCTCTTCTGTACAAGCATCAGACGGGATGGTCGATGATCGACTGGCGGGGGCACTTCTGTCCATCAGTCATAACGAATCCCGCGCTGCACCCGGGCTGGCCTCGGCGGCAAGTTCAAAGACAGCGCACGCGCATGATATGGCTGCAGCGGGGCCTCACGTCCCAATACCAACCAGATGCAGCCATGTTTCAGGTCTAGCGGAGGATCATACGCAGCCTCAGCTGATGGAACTTGGTCAGAAACATAGGCCATGGCGGCCATGGGAGACGGTTGAAAGCAGTGTCGCTCGGGATGTTGTGATGAGGCACTCGCCTGAAGCAGATGCGCACAGAGCAGACCAGTGCACGGTTCATGCACGATCGAGTCGAACCCCCCGCATTGGCTGCGGCACGACATATCTCGAGCACTATCTAGAGGCTCACCTTCAGAGCTCACCGTGCCGCACCAGATATCAGTCATTGATAGAGAATATTGAAGAACGAACCTTTTCACGTTCACCGACGAACTTTACCACCTCAGCTTCCTCGTCGCCATGGTCGCTATACTCTGTGGAGTGGGACGAGCCGTGGCCTTCTTTCGATCGGCCGGAGTTCTCAGATGTCGAAACCTCGAAATATGAATTGCCGACGAGCTGTAACTCGTTCCAGGACAGCGCGGAAGGGAGTCCATCTACAGCGCAAGGCAGAAATGCAAGCACATCTCAGGAAGGCTCCCAGGGCCTGACAGCGGACCCGAGTGGCGGGAAACGTCAAAGAGGAGACACGGAATCGCCAAATGGACTCCGCGAACCTGCTGCGAAGAGGACGAGGCACGGCGCCAAAGGCCGGAGGAAGCAGCCAGAAATTGAATGCATCTGGTACGTGGTAAATGGGAGAAGTGATCCAAACGATGCGAAACGATGGCCCACACTATACGACATGCAGTGAGTATCTTACCCCGAATGACGCCTCGTGATACATGACTTCTCGCTGACCATCCCACCAGTCGTCATGGACGCCACGCACATCGCATGTTCATGTGTGAGGATTGTTTCTTGCCATTTAAAACGGATGAACAACGACTGGATCACAAAGACGGCGGTGTCAATCCATGTGTCAGGTCTTGTGAATTTGTTCGTTGCCGTCGTCGGCGGCTCCGTTCGTTGAGCCATCTCACTCATTGTGACCATATATTTACCGTATCGGCACGCTGGCAGGCTGCTCTTCGTACGGCAGAAGCCATGATACACGGACACACGTCTAACAATTTGCGTAATTCACCATCTCTCGAGCAGCAGCAGCAGCAGCACACGGGAGGCGAGAGCGACCTTACCAATGCTCTTTCTCAGTCAAGCCACGACACGGGCGAAGTCGAGATTGGGACTGCACAGGACGCGAGAGATACTTCTGGAGAAAGGCATCAGGTATCACCTGCCAGCCGAGTGTACGGTTCCCTTGGGAGAGTCACCCAGTCGGAGCAACAACTGAGCAGTACCCAACCAGAAACCAGCTCTGCTCACATAGGGCCCCTTGAACAATCCCAGGCACGACTACAGCATCTGCTCGCTACAGCCTGTCATGAGCTTCAGGCTGCGGGCAGCCCATCTCTCCGCGTAGGAGCAAGCTTTCGCAATGCTTTGAGTGTTGACGCACCTAACATTCTGGCGGAGATCGAACGCATCCCTCTGGGGACCGTACGCGAGCCGGTTAATACAAATCAGACTCGCGGTGCATGGTACCATGCACCCGTTGTCACTGAATTGGCCTCAAACAGTACAAACCATATTCCGTGCCGGCTCTCTTCCCCAGCCCAAGTGAATGACTTGGCCTCTTTTCGGCCTCTTGCACCATTCTTCCCGGAACAGGATACTGGAACAATACCAACCATAGATCAATACGGCGGCACGTTTGTTGTTCCCAGTAGAGACTCTACTATGCTCCAATTGCCCTCCGATAGAATGCAATTCCACAGCAATCCGTCTGGAACTGCCGCGTCGGCAAACCTACCCAGTGCGATGTATCCCATGCCAACTCAACCCGACTCCGCAACTACAAATGACTATTACTCTCAGTCGTCTGGTGGTCACGAACGGTCTTCGATCAGCAGAAGCCAAGGACCGTGGGAAAGGAAGAGGTAGTTGCCGCCAGTCTTACACTTTTGCTCTCATACTGTAGCAACCGAGAGTTGCGTCCTGAGCAGTATCAGAATTTCGAGTATGGAACAGTAGACCATTAGGCCGAACAGTATCGCCGCAGGAGGATTGAAGTTGTTCATTCTTTCCGTATCGTACCTAAAGTCTCTAGTAGAAACAGAGATAGCAGGGCAAAACCAATATTTCAATCTTTTTTCAAATATTCTCGCTATTAATAAATTCAGATCGCTATCCCGTTAGTTCCAGCTCTACAAGTATGTCTACGCCTATCTAAGACGACCGTAAGATGATGATATCCTCCTAAGCTTTTTGTTGATATACTGAACTGCGAATTTAATAGTAAAGAGAAGAGAGAAGAAGAAGGTTTGAAATCTAGTGCGTTTATCATGTATCGAGATGTAGATGTATACTCCCAGCTTTCCCCTTTTCCTTTCCCCTTTCCCCTCTCTCCCCCCCCC